CAGTACAATTCACATAGTAATACTATAATTGATATGAATATGTGCAAAGGAAATGACATCCAACAGAGCAAAATAGAATAATTTACGGGCACAAATACATTAAAATAGAAATAACACATCACTGCAAGAAGATAATACCATCACTTGGTGGTTATGATGTAAAGAATCACCATTTTGTCATGCACTGAATGTGACTTGACTTGCCTCACGAAGATCTGCTGTGAGTTGAATTGACTCAGGAGGATCAATGGTGACTTGACTGGACTCAAGATGGGCAGCTGTGACAGAACAGGGTGCTGTTGTGTCTGCCATTTTGCGATCAGGCTCCACTGTCGCCGCCATTTTGTGAGTGTGCTCTGGTACAGCCGCCATTTCAGTCACAGACACAGTCCCCTCTCTCTCTCTCTCTCTCTCGCGCGCGCTCTCTCTCTAAATCAGCTTGTAACACTCCAAAGAGAAAGGAAAACTTGAAATCGCATCATATGACCCCTTTAAACTGTCACAACTATAGGCCTACTCTTGCTGGCCACCATGAGGCTAGGATGAAGTGTTGGACTCTGTATCACGTCTGTCTCGAATCCAAGACCATATTTACATATCTGTCTGTACCGATGGACGCAATATGATATGCTCTGTGCTATTCCGTCTATAGACTGAACACACTGGTGTGCACTGGTCTGCACAGGTTTAAGTGACTATGACGAAAAACTAGCCTTCATTCATGCCAAAGGAAAGAATAGTTATACTTTCAAAATGATATAGACCCTTTTCAGGTCTCGGTCTTAACTCAGACTCAACAAACTCAGCACTTGGCCTGGTCTCGACTACCTATGCACAATCAGCTTGTAACACTCCAAAGAGAAAGGAAAACTTGAAATCGCATCATATGACCCCTTTAAACTGTTACAACTATAGGCCTACTCTTGCTGGCCACCATGAGGCTAGGATGAAGTGTTGGACTCTGTATCACGTCTGTCTCGAATCCAAGACCATATTTACATATCTGTCTGTACCGATGGACGCAATATGATATGCTCTGTGCTATTCCGTCTATAGACTGAACACTGCGTGTGCACTGGTCTGCAGAGGTTTAAGTGACTATGATGAAAAACTAGCCTTCATTCATGCCAAAGGAAAGAATAGTTATACTTTCAAAATGATATAGACCCTTTTCAGGTCTCAGTCTTAACTCAGACTCAACAAACTCAGCACTTGGCCTGGTCTCGACTACAGCCGCTTTTCCACTGTCGGGCCAGTGCGAGCCAGTGCTTTAAACAGGCTAATAGCCTCGGACCTGTAGCACCGAGGCCAAAATCACGCTGCGTTTCCACCGTCGTGCCAGAAGCTCCGCTGCGCTTCACTAAAACCCGCCCTTTACACGCCTCCCAGGAACAACGTTACGCAACCCCATCATTTCACCAACAAAGAGAAGTTAGCAGAAAACTAAGAAGAAATAAGTCACTGGAACTAGCGCGATCACGAAACGAACATGATAAAAGCGGCCGTTTGTTTGCATGCTTTGTTAAAGATTTAAATCCAAAAGCATCGATGTTTTACAATGATAAGTGATACATTGATCATAATGAATTAATTTATCAGGATTGAAAATTAGTCACACAGAAATAAAGCGGTATGAACATAGCCTACCTACTTGTTCAGTCGAGTCTGTTACTGTTGATTTGTAGTCACAGTCATGGCCGGACTTACCATTGGGCTTGAATGGGCTGCAGCCCAGGGGCCCCGCCTTAACCCGTTTACATTTGTTCAGTTATGTGCCAGTCAGAAATTACACTGGCCAGCCGGGGCTAACAGCTTCCAATTACGACCTTCGAAGCCATAATCAAACTGGAATTTATGATTTTTTTTCACATAGAAAAAGGACACACGTATTAAATCATGTCTGCGCTGCGCCGAATCGCCGATTAATTTGTGATCACGTGGCTACTTTAAACGGTTCAATTAAGCCTTTAGCCCAAAAGAGCGCACATTTAGAAAGAAAATGATAAATTCTCACATGTCCCGTTTACATTTGTTCAGTTATGTGCCAGTCAGAAATTACACTGGCCAGCCGGGGCTAACAGCTTCCAATTACGACCTTCGAAGCCATAATCAAACTGGAATTTATGATTTTTTTTCACATAGAAAAAGGACACACGTATTAAATCATGTCTGCGCTGCGCCGAATCGCCGATTAATTTGTGATCACGTGGCTACTTTAAACGGTTCAATTAAGCCTTTAGCCCAAAAGAGCGCACATTTAGAAAGATAATGATAAATTCTCACATGTTCACGCCTCAATTCTTGACAGATTATGATTTTATATTATATTAATGTTCCACTAAATTAATCTGAAGAGTTTTGAGCGCTCTCTCCCGTCCAAAGACTATAGAATACTCTAATATCTTACAGGCTTTGTCCCGTCTCACTACCTCCACACAAAGTGGAGCAGAACTTTAATCAAAACGATAAAAAATAAAAATAAAAATAGCCATTTACAGGGTTCGTACGGTCATGAAAACCCCAGAAAGCTTTGGAAAAGTCGTGGAAATGTATTTTACAAATCTCTATATAATAGAATAGGCTATGTTTAATCACGTCCTGAATCTCGGTGCGGGATTGCGCATTTTGGTTTTACTCATTCCCGCAGCTTTTGCACATTTGGAAAATTCCCGCAAACATGTATTTAATATACAATGTAGGTTAGATGAGTAAAAAAAACACACAGAATATCAGATTAAAAACAGCGTGAGTGGTTCAGCTGTACCGCGTCTTCTCGCTCTCACTCGCTCAAAATTGCCTCACATCAGCGCATCTCATCTGCACTTAGATAGCTGCTGCACACTGCCAGACAAGACTTTAGCTCAGCTGATAGAACAGTATTGCATCATCACAAAAGTGTATCATTTGCACGTCTTTTTAAACCATTCGGTTCTTGTGCGCTCCAAACTAGTTTTCTGGGTGCTCACGGTCACATCCAAAGCGCCGCGCACATGAAGCCGCATCGCAAGAAAAAGTTATTGTTTTAATTGAGTCAGAAAGACTCAAGTAACCTTGCATTTTAATAAATAATGTTACATAAAGACAATTAAACAGTCAGTAATAAATGATCAAGTTACTAGCAATAGCACAAGGATACAAATGAAACAAACTCGTTTTAACTTTTTCGGGTAGGCTATAGCCTAAAACTAACAGTAGCTGCTACTGTTCAGGAACAAAATACAATGATGTATAAAGTCATAAATATAGATTATATTTATATATTATTCCATATTAAATATGAAAAAGTTATTTAGTCAAGAGCAGATTTTTTTCTTTTGTTCTTTAACACAGACTGACAGACAGCAGGTATATTAAAAGCTGCTGTCACTTTCATACCAAATGTTAATGTTAACAATGTTAATTAATGATTGGTTATTGTTAATTAATGTTACCAACAAAATACAAAATCACTCACTGCTCTTGACTGAATAATTTTTGTAACTTTAATTTTAAGAATTAATCTGTTGTTTAATTTACAGTGAATTTACTGTTTTTAATTTACAGTTTATTCCATTTCTGCAGCATTTCTGTACCTGAATGTTTTCCACCAAAACTGTTTCTAAAACGAAATTAAGGTCCTGAGTTTAATTTATAATACTGGCTAAGCAAATTACAATATACTTAACATGCTGGCATTCAGTTATGTGATTATGTAGCCTAACTTATGTTCTCTGCATGAAGTAACGTCTAGCACAGTCGCAGCCTGTGCTTATTAGAAAGCAAACAAATAGCATTAATAATCATTAATTATCCTTAGCATATGCTATGATAAATCTGAACATTTGTGTAAAATAATGGAGCATTAGGTCATGAATATTGCCTTAAATGTCATTGAAATTTATTGGTTGAACGAACCCTGCATTTAATCAGTGAATGCCTACGATATAGGAGTTAGCCTACACTCTTAAAAATAAAGGTGCTTCAAAAGGTTCTTCAAGCGATGCCATAGAAGAACCCTTTTTGGTTCCACAAAGAACCATTCAGTCAAAGGTTCTTTAAAGAACCATCTCTTTCTTACCTTTTTATAATCTGAAGAACCTTCTTTTGCCACGAAGAACCTTTTGTGAAACAGAAAGGTTCTTCTGATGTTGAAGGTTCATTATGGAACCATTTAGACAAAAAGGTTCTTCTATGGCATCGTGAAGCACCTTTATTTTTAAGAGTGTATCACACAAACTAGAGTCCTGTTTTTCCGAATATCTGCAAGATCGCAAATGTACAATAAACAAGTTACTGAATAACTTTCAGACACAAAATTCTGCTTTGCCCCATCAATGCGTCAACTGAGAGATCACATCCTGTTTATTGTATTATAGTGACTATTTAATATTACATCTAAACTTTGACTAGGCTAGACATGTTGCCTATTAATTGTATACAGTATATGAACCTAAAAGCATATTTAAATTTTTTTGTATTTTGTGTTACTCCATAATAATGTTCTAGTTGAGGGCATTTGTAGTATAGGTATGGGGCCCAAACATAACCTCAAGCCCAGGGGCCCCCAGCCCCGTAAGTCCTGCCCTGGTCACAGTATATACATCACATTTAGAAAGAATGATAATTTTTATATTTTTATAAAAGCTCCGCTGTCTGCTGTCTGAAAGTGAGTTTTGAACTAAAATTATTTTAAAAGTCTTTAATGCTGGTGTTATAGCGGTTAACTTTTTTAAATGATCCGCGGCGCGACGAGGCACGATCAAGCCCCGGAAGTGACAGTGGAAACGCGACTGGCCCTGGCACGCACTAGCACGCCCGCTTTTGGCCCGACAGTGGAAACGCGGCTAATGCTGCTAAGGTGTCCTGAGTACTACACAGTTGCTAGGGGTTTTGGGATGGTCACTTAATGACAAAAGTCAAGAGTCTAACTCTATGTCTGATGACATTCTGATCTCTAAATATGGCTCAGGTCTCTCCTTCAGTTTAAGTTATATGGCCATTTTTTAACCTGTTTTATGTAACTAGTGTAGGGCAATACCCCACAGAGTCAGAATGACATACTTGAACCTTCGCTTGGTGATGGCAGCCTTGGCTTTGAAAGGGAAGCAGATTGCCAGGTAACATTCCATGCTGAGCACTGTGATGTGGAGGATGGTGGCATTGGTGTATCCTTCATTGATGTAGTGTGATAGACGGCACACCAGCTCCCCGAAGACCCAGGGTACGTACTTCCAGAGGCAGTAGAGGTCCAAAGGGAGGCTAAGGAAGATGACCAGGTCTGAGACGGCCATGCTGGAGAGATACAGGTTGGTGGTGGTCTTCATGTCCTTGAAGCGCTGGATAATGAGGATGGTCATGGTGTTGCCGGTTATGCCGACGACGAAGAGCAGGATGCAAATGGTGGTGACAGGAATGAGGGTGGAGGTTGGGAAGAGAGAGTCTCCGCAATGGTGGTCCTCCATGAACTCCTCCATATTGATGCAAATCTGCAGATGTCCCTTGATAAGGTCTTAGAGATTGTGGTAAATGTACAAAAGACCTTTAAAAGAGGTTGAGCATGAAGAACTCAGATGAGACTTCTTCGCTGAAAGTCTGTTTCAGCATCAGGGAAGGTGTAACCATGAAGAGGCGGTGTTTTAACAGGAGATGAAAAAGACAAGACCTGTGGGTGTAGTATCTGGTGTGCTGCTACAGGAGATGAGAGCATCACCTCTCCTCTCCTGTGTGAGTGCAGAATATCACTTAGTCCAGTTCTTAATTAAATGGTGAAATCACAAGAGGTGGAGACAGTAGACAGATAGGGATAGAGGTGAGAGGTGGGGCTTTGGCTTTCAAAGTGTGTGTTTAAATGAACAACTCTTGATTCATTTATAAGTCAGGGTTGCCAGGTTTTCACAAGAAGGGGGTCTCCAGTTAAAAATTTGCATTCCAGGGGATAAATATCATGTTATTGGAGTCGCTTCAACCCGCGGACATGAAAAACAACCAGCGGCAACAGAGTTAAAGTAGCCTGGTATAACTGCAGACTCTCTACTAATATGAATAACATTATTTGCATATCAGTATTTATCAAGTTTTATCCAATTGAATAATTTGGACAAATATTGAACTTGCAATCTTGAAATCAAAAATTATTTTGGATATTTTCTTAGAATTACAATTTAGTGAGCATAAAGCAGGGTTATAATGAAGAAAAAAAATCAAGAAACTGTTGCTTGAAATAAAGTGAAATATTAAAAAACTTTAACCTTAATTTCAGCTAGTTTCTAGCTTTAGCTTTATATGTCGAATGAACATCAAAAACGAAAGCCTGTCAAATTAATGAAGAAACAGAGCTGTGACCCAAGCGTATCTCAAAAAGTCTAAAAGTCAAAAAGTACAATTTTAACAAATATATTGGGTTTTTTTTCAGTTCAAAAGATATACTGAATAAAAGGTATGACCTAAGAGTATTTTTCTTTTTTCTTACAAACAGTTAATTAGTATTAACATTGGCAATGTCTAACACAATCTTTATTCATAGTATGTTGATGCACAATGAAGCTCCTGGTGTGCCAAAATTAAAATTTGTTTTGAAACATTACAGAAAAATACATTTAGATCATCTTAATATCTTTGTAATATGCTTTAACACTTGATCCCGGTGCTGAAGAATAATCTAATTTAATAGACAATCTATCTGGAGCGAGCACTCCAACCCAATGGCTCGTTCTTCGTGGACAAAATGTAACCATATGCAGGAGGAATGAACTTGGTTTGTACACGGTCTGATCAGGAAGTCTGGATCTCTGACGAAACACAAAATCTGAACTGGAATCTGAAAATTGTTTTACTAGTTTCACTGAAAAAGGAAGATGTAAAATATTATATTTAATTATCATAAACTACTCATTGTTAATATAGTAAACGTCATTACTATAATGGTGTTTAATAGGTAGAAGTGTTCATACTTAGATTATGTAGATGCAATTAGATTGTTTTATTAAAATGTGATGCATGAAATCTGAAAATTTGATTTGAATGTGCTCAAAAGGGGAAAAAAAACTTTAACGGAATGTTGACTAAATACAATAAAATCCAATAAAGCAATAAATCTTGACTGAAAAAAAAAATTCATATACTGAGTGGTTTTTTTAGATACAAAAACATTATCATAGTGATATGAATCGACATATATGGCAACATGCAGTAAAAGAAGACAATTAAGAATTATAAATCTTTTATTGTGCATGGATCCATCTGTAGATATCATGACTATACAGACACACTTTAGATACATATATATGATTATACATTTCCTATCTGATAACGAACATTTTAAAGTGATATGTCTGGTAGTATGTATACTATAACAAATTTTTGTTTTGGAATGTACGGTGTATGAGGTAACTGCAAACATTAAAATTACATAAAAATGGTCTAATTCTTTGTGCATATTTTATAGATTTTTTGTAGTTTTTCTGTCTCCCAAGAACCAAACGCCTACCATGATGGGGAGATGTTAAAATGGCACACTTCGCAATTACATTTTATCACTATCAAAAATAGGAGTTTGAGGTTTTTTTTTCCCTTCAATGACAAACAGAAGACATTTGCAGAATATCTATAAGACCAAATCATGTAATTAATTTTCATCCAGGACTTCTTGCAAGGTACCTTCAATTGTTAACAGTTGTTGACAGCACTCATATGCCCATAACCAAAGCACGACACAAAACCCTACGACCGGACCATCATACTGCTGTGACACAGCGCTGACAGTCACAAGACTTTAACACACAGAGAAAAAGGCAAAAATTTTCGATTCACAGGAAGTACATGTAGGATTAACACAATTCATTACAGCTGTTTGCATTTCATTTCTTGCGCTTTTCTTAATTTCTCTGCTGGACAGAATAAACTTAAAGGTTTTATTTCCATATAAAAATAAAGTTCAAATGTGTGATTTAAGAAAAAAGATATCTGAAAATTAATATTTAGTCCTATATTCAATACTCTTGAGATTACATCAAAAAGTAATATTGCTAAAAGTAAAGGATAACACTAAACACTAAAACTAAACAAAACCAAAACCAAAAAAATTAACAATAGAGAAATTAAGAAAATCCTAAATGACTTTCGAAATCTTGATTACTGGCTGAAAAACCATTTCAAGAAAAATTTTTGTGGTACTACATTTTTAAAAACAGCCAAAACACATAGGTCTTGCACAACTGGAGAACATGTTTCAAAAAAACGCATCACAAGATTCGCATTCGAGAAGCATTTTTTTCTCTTCTCGCTAAGGTGCAAAGGTAACGACTGAAGGAAAGGTTTCCGAGAAGCATACATTGTGCTGAACGACAATATTTTGGAGCAAAGCAGCTGCTTGATTGTAAAAACAAGCTACAGTATACGTACATGATAGTAAAAATAACTATTAAGCTGAGTTAGTTTGGTATTCATAGTCATAATCTTACTTCCCCCGTACTAAGCCAGAATCTCAGGTCCTCGTATCATACTGTACAAAAATATACTAACATTTCTCTAGTTATTTTTGCATCCTTTACACATTCTGAACATCAAAAAAGTTCTGAGCAAAGTGCTAAATCAACGTTCGCTAATTTGAGCCGTATTGGTCTCGCCTCCCCTTTTTTAAATCGTAGACCTGTAGACTTCTGCTCGCCTGTACCCCCTCGCCGACGGCGTAGTCACTGGCCCTTGAGTCCCAGGCCCAAGATAGCAAAACGGTGAGCGGCGTGACCACCGAGCTAGCTTTGAACAAAACTGACACTCAACAGTTTACAATTGAAATTATACGTATAAATAACAAAGACTACAGCTACACAAATAAATGAAGTGGTACGATGAGAATGCGATGAGCGGTAAGCTTCACTGCTGATCCTTCATTAAATCGCCCTCCGAGTCCCATGGAGGGAACGGCGTTTTTTCGACAGCATGCTCCGAAGGGACAGCGGAAAGATAGATAAATAGATTGGGTGAAGTGATTCTACAACTTCCTTTTCTCAATCCTTCCCTTCACGCGGCTCCTCAACGCTGGTGCCGGAACGAAAAAGAAAGAAAGAAAAACAAACATCAACAAACAAACTCGTTTTGATGATGTAACACAGGGCCGAGGCTCATTCGATCACAAAGTACTGGATGGCGACCGCGATGAGGATGGATGTCACAGCCAAGAGGGCGATGATGAGGAAGGAAAACTGTTCATCCGTCATGCTGCGTTTTGGCTTCTGGGCCTCGGCTGCTTTGGATCCCGTGGTGCCGGAGACCCCGGGGCTGTCGACGCGAGGTGGGAGCAGGATGATGGTGGAGCTGTAGGGCCCGATGATTTCGGGGGCGTCCTGGCACTGCCGGATGGCGCAGACGCGAAATCGGTACTCCGTGGACGAGCTCAGGTTAGGGAGCTGGTAGGAAGTGGCTGAGCCCTTGTAGATCTGAAAGAATTAAAGACAAGCATTAAATATTTAATTAAACTAAACAAATATATTCTTAAATACTGCATAAAGTATTATTTACATTTACACTCTTGTTTGGAAAAAAATTTTTTTTAGTTTTTGAAAGAACTCCTATGTTCACCAAGGCTGCATTTATTTGATCATAAATACAGTGAAAACAGTAATTTTGTAATTTAAAAGAAGTGTTTTCTATTTTAATATACTGTCTTGTGATCCAAAGCGAAATTTTCAGCAGCCATTACACTCCAGTATTCATTGTCACATGATCCTTCAGAAATATTTCTAATATGCTGATTTGGTGCTTAAGAAACATTTCTTATTATCAATGTTGAAAACAGTTGTGCCATTTAATATTTTTGTGGAAACCATGAAACCTTTTTAAAAGATTGTCTGAGGAATAGAAAATTAAAAAAATGCAGCATTTATTTAAAATTGTTTTTAACAGCGTAAATGTCTTTATTTCACTGTCATACTGTCACTGGATCAATTTAATAGTGTAGTGAATTATAAAAGACGACCTAAAATTTGCCCATTTTTGAATAGACAGTAATCAGTTTAATTTATACAGAACAATATTCAGCATTACATTAATTTCATTCTTTTTCATAACAAAAAGTAAAGAGCTGATGAAGTCTATTTTAAGGATGCAGATGTGTAGGCAGAGAAATAATATGCCCGAAGAACATGAGAATATGAAGTCGCGCACGTGTGTGTGGGCTGCATCAACACAAACACACAAGCCTCCCATCATGCCTGCAGTCTCCAACAGTGTCTCTCAGCAGGGGGCGATGAGTCAGAGCAAGTGAGACTGCTTTACCCTTCCATTTCCCTCATATCTACAGTCACTCAGAGGCAGCCCACTCAGGTGTTCACGGTAGAGTGATTTTAAGTTAATTCAAACGTTCTGCCGGGTCCCGCCTGACATACAGTTCAGTGATAATATTTTTAGTGACAATCACTATTAGGAATTCAACTCCGCAACTACAGACAACTGGGTGATGTTTTTACCCGGCTCTCCAGGGGGCCCCTTAGGACCCACTTTTAAAGGTGTAAATTAGTTACATTAATTAGTTCATTAGTACGTTTTAATTAGTATGACAGTTCACACAAAGTTTACTCCTCAAGTCTTTTCAAATCCATATGTGCATGAGTTTTTTTCTGCAGAATGTTCAGGGAGTTTTTATACTTTGTGAGAAAATTTAAGTCATCAAATCTCATCTGTTTTTGTAAATTATGCATTTAAAGCTGCAGTCCGTAAGTTTTGCCTCTTTGTCACCATCTCTGTTTGAAAACCTGGAATTGCAGCTGTGATCGGAATTATCTAGCTTGCGTGGGGTTGTGAGTCGGCACGGCTCCAGCGCGGATGAGTCTAATGTTCTGAAGAGTATGTGTGGCAGTCAGTCACTGCACCGGTGTGGATATTTACTGTACTTCGCAATCACAGATTCTAGCCTACGTCTTGGAATATGACCCAAATAAGAATTTTCACCATATATTGCCATCCGAACAAGCCATTTTTTCAAGTAACAAGTCTGCCACGTTTGTTCTGACCAACTGAGGAAAAAAGCATTACCATAAATCTCACTACCAATGGTGATTAAATCTAAATGAGCTCATATCACATCAAACCGTTCAAATTATTATTATTGTTATACTTTATTCTCAAATGATTAATGTTAACAACATCAGCATTGGTGACTATGAGTATAGTGTGTATTATAGCGTGTAGATTTCAATTTCGGCACAGTCTAATCTAATTGTCATACTCTTCGAATTTCATATTAAAGGGGTCATATGATCTTGCTAAAAAGAACATTATTTTTTGTATTTGGTGTAATGAAACGTGTTTAAAAAACATTATTTTCCACATACTGTACATTATTGTTTCTCCTCTATGCCCCGCCTTTCTGAAACGCGTCGATTTTTACAAAGCTCATCGGTCTGAAAAGTGAGGTGTGCTCTGATTGGCCAACTATCCAGTGCATTGTGATTGGCCGAATACCTCAAGCGAGTGACGGAAATGTTACGCCCCTTACCATATTGTGATGCCCTGTCCAGCCGGAGCGACGAGACAAAAACATTAAAACCCGTTATAAACGAGGCATTTGTTGCATCCAGTGGGGACATAATTACAGATTATAATGACTTATACTATCTTCTTACATCGTGCCACGTAAATATAAAACCATGTCTGCATTTGTGATCAAAGAAATTACAAACAACAAGTGCTACTCTACACTGCTCAAAACTCGCGTTTGAATCGTCAGTGGCAAATTCTTTAAATATAAAAAAACGTACTTACAGTCTGTGAGTCAGAACAGCCTGCATTCTAGTCTACTCTACCAGGATCAGGAAACAGTCCTCCATAAAATGCGCTGGACACATCTGAATATTTGGGTTGAACTGTTCTGGAACAGTGTTGTAAATACAACTTGACCACTGATTTCAAGTTGTGTCCTCTTTTGGAAGGCCAAACAAAGTAGTTTCGCTTTCACAAGCCTCACACACACGGCGGGCTTGAGGGAGCGGAGGCCGGCTTGAGTGAGCGGCGACCGGGCTTGAGAATGGAGTGTCCGGCGGGCTTGCGGCAACCACATGTGACGATCCCGGACTGGACTCCGGCGATCCACAGCGCGAAGTTGATGTATTTCCTCAGTGACCAGCATGGATCAGCTCTAGGCATGACGAAGCAGATATCGTCCTCTTTTGGAAGGCCAAACAAAGTACACTTTCACAACGAAACACACAGCGCCTTTACGACATGGCGGCGGCGAGAATAAATGTTACACCTTCTTTCTTTGCATGAACATTTGGGCAGTGTTATGCAAATCTTCCCACATCGTGATGTAGACATGTGGGGACGTGTTAGAACGAGCCGTTTTAGGTAGGCGTGGTTGACTCTTAACTTTTAAGAAGAATATCTCTTTGGATTTGAGACTTTAGTCTTTGCAACTTTACAGATCTTGTTTATGCACCAAGAGCTTGTAACACTCCAAAGAGAAAGGAAAAATTGAAATCGCATCATATGACCCCTTTAAGAAATTCTTTTAACTCAAAAAGCAAATTATGCTCCATTTGAACTGGTTTCCTTTAAAATACAAATCTTTGTAATCCCAGGCTATTTGTAATCAGAAGCACATTTATAACTGGAATATAATTTAATTTCATTTACATGTGTTTCATAAACACATAATCCTTTATGGATTACAATCCGCCATCAAAATGATACATTTAATTATTCTGGCTGCTGTGAGAAAAGGCTGTAAACGATCCACCACCTGCAAGATCCTCACAGGTGATAGTCTAGTAGCCGGGACAACTTCTTTATGTTTACAGACGTGACGTAATGACGCAGTGCATGCTCGAATTTCCCGCGAAAACCTACCCGTACCACTCAAATTAGAAAACATTATTATAAGCTGACCATTGTGAATCAGGCTAAAGTAAGGCGATAGTTTTGAACACTGGCTGGTTATGTACTTGCTCAAATATTGATTTCGGATCATTTTTAACCAAAAAAAGTTACGGACTGCAGCTTTAAATATGGTCCCACAAGTTTGGGTTACACTTTAGTTTAAGGTAACATTGTTACAGTATAGTTAGACAATTAAGTACCAAGTAATATTAATTTACTACATACACTTACTACAGGGTTAAGATTAGGGTTTGGTTTAGGGATAGTTGCATATAATTATGCATAATTTACTGTACATATAGTCTTCTACAGAGGTAGGAACATGTAACGTGTAACAAGGACAGGGCTCCTGCACCAAGTATTGTAACCAGGCACTGCGAAGGGTCACATGTGACTGAAACGTTTCATTATAGTAGTGGTTTTCATCTTATAATCTATGTTTTTTTATTCTTTATTTGCTTGGGTAGGCTTCTTTTTGAATTTTTGGCCATTTGGATTTTTCATTCTACACACCTCCTTTTGGACTTTTTTCAAGGTGCTGTGAGTTTCCGGCTAGTTTTTTAAAGTTATATTTATGGGCTTTTATGCCTTTATTGGATAGGACAGTAGAGGGCAGACAGGAAAGCACTGGGTGGAGTGAGGGGGGATTAGCAAAGGACCTTGCGTTATATATGTTGGGGAAATAACCGATAAGGCTATCGGCGCAGACAGTTTCTGGCTATTTAACAAGGACAGTAACATGTCACAGCAAAATACAGTGTTACCTAAGTTTGTGGGAAGTTTGCCATAAATGTTCGCAACGCAAAAGGTCCTAATGCACTTCACAATCAATCATAACATGTTTAAATGTTTTAAATTCAGTGCACTTGAGATTTGAGTTAGAGTTATTTTACGATCTGCTTCTCATGCTAAGCTATCATATGAGCTCAGAAGACGGGATTGGGTTTGGAACAACAAAGGTATGAATATATAATGAGTTTGAGTTTTTCATTTTAACCACCATCACTACTTATTTTGTTTTGTACTTTGTTGCTCCTTAACATTTATGGAGTCCTTGCCAAACAAAGGTTATGAAAGCCATAGTCACAACATGATGTCAGAATAAAGAGCATGCACAATCACATCACAAATGTGAGTGGATAGATTTGATTTAGCTATAACATTAAGTGCAACATCTGTCACTAAGCCATTCAAGTAATGACCACTATATCATCATTATGCTATAATAATATTCATCCAAACTGCTGAACCCAACACCTGCTGTCTGCTGAGCGCCGTGACCTCTGTGTAATGTGCTTACAAGTGCGAACCTACATTTGAGACACTTTTGCCTCACAGTGAATAGAAATATTTAAATTGAGACGCTTCATTGAGGTTAAAATGGATGGTTTTTAAGTGTTTGATGAGCTGATTTCTACTGAAACACGTAAATGCAGTTGATATGGTGCGATGTAGACACCTGTTTGAACTCAGAATTTCCCTGCATGCTTTGCAAACAGTAGATGGCTGGATCTCCCTTCATAGGTGGCAGTGTCTCCCAGCTCACCTCACACGACTCGTCCACACGCTCCACACGAGGAGCTGAAGTCAGACACAGACAGATGTAGTGATGATGAGAACAAACCAAACTTGCAGGCAAAAAAATATCAGGTCAAACCGCAGACCATTAATTATGTGTTGTTGTCAAAGTGCATCAATTTAAAATAATTCATTTGAGTGCGAGACTGATTATTAAATATAACACTGGCTGTAACATGCCAATAAACAAAGCAGTGCAATTATTGTTATTTATCCACATAAATTACCTCCCTTATGAGAAGACAGGCATAATATTCTGTGTAAAATACAAGTGAAGCTTTATTGAACACATCTATGTTTAAACTAATAAGAATAAATGTTTCTCCAGAAGCAAATCAGCATATTAAAATGATTTCTGAAGGATCATTGTGACACTAAAGAGTGAAAATTAAGTTTTGTAATCAGTAAATTAAATGAATCAGAGGAAGCCTATGGGGCAAGTATATGGCTGCAGCAGATGTGATGCTGTACCTTTCAGGGGTGCAGGTGGGGAGCGGGGGGTGGTGAAGGTGTAAACAGTGGAGAAGGGCCCCTCGCCCGCCTCGTTAAAGGCCTGGATGCGGAACGTGTACGAGGTAGACTCATTTAGCCTCTGCACTTTGTGAGTGTGACAGGGTCCTTTATACAAGGATATAAACCTTTAGGAAGAGACAAAAACAGAGACAGAGAAAATGTTATAGAGTTAACCTCTATAAAGCCAGAAAATACACAATATTATAAAACTATAACAGACTTGAAGGCAGACCCACACAAAAGTTTTGAACGAATTAATAATAACAAATAAATAAATGTAAAAATAACTCTAATTTGAATCATTTATAAAGCTGAATATATCCCTTGCCCATTGCATGTTTGTACTATATTACCTTTCAAAAGTTTGCGTTTGCTAAGATTTATTAAATGTTTTTGAAAAAAAGTATCTTTTGCTCACCAAGGCTGCATTTATTTGATCGAAAAATTATTACAATTTAAAATAATAACATTTCTGTTTTAATATATTTAAAATGCAATTTATTCCAGTAATTACAAAGCTGAATTTTCAGCAGCCATTACTCCAGTCTTCAGTGTCACATGAACCTTCAGAAATCACTTCAATATGCTGCTCAAGAAACATTCATTGTTTTTATAAATGTTTAAAACAGTTGTGCTGCTTAATATTTTTCTGGAAACCAAGATTCAGCTTTCTTTGAGTAACCGAAAGTTAAAAAAACTACATTTAAAAAATATACATAAGTCTTTCATAATATCATAAAAAAGTATTACTTAAAAGCCACTTCTGATCAAATTAATGCATCCTTGCCAAATAAAAAAAATGAATTTCTTTATATATATATATATATATAAAAAAACACTGACTGCATATTTGGCTAATCTTAGCATTTCACTTTCAGAGAAAATTACTTGAAACTTCTCTCATGCCAGGTCAGGACACAGTGTTAAAATATACTGTAAAGCACCAACTATCTACTAACCTCCCACTTTTATCCTCCATTTGGAGATGGTACAGTAGGGAATCGGTGGGTTGGGCCTTGGCCGGGCCTTCACCCCACTTGAGCCTGAGGGTCTGGTGACTGGAAGCGGTGCACTCCAGACGTGGAGGGAGGGGTGGCAGTGGCTTGGTCTTCAGTTTAAAGGTGTGGCTACAGGGTCCTGCTCCCAGACTATTTAGAGCCTGGATCCTTATCCTTCAAACACACGAGCACAAGATTCAATTTTCGTTCATATACATTCATTAATTCATTCAGATTCATGTTAACGTTTGGAATGGTTGTTTGTTGGAGTTTAATTTATAAGGTTCATAAGGTCCTACATTCATGAAATGGACAACACTGGTTGCGCTGTATGTAGGGCTGCACGATAAATCGCATGCGATATTTAATGCGCATCTTATCAGTAAAGCTGGTTCTGTAATCAGCTGTAAATCTCCATCACGTGCGTGCTTTCACATTGAGCAGCATTAACTACACAGAGCCGTTGTTCACTGACGAGCTGCGCAAAACCACGTTCATATTCGCACGATTTTTTGCGCAGCTCATCAGTGAACAACGGCTCTGTGTAGTTAATGCTGCTCAATGTGAAAGCACGCACGTGATGGAGATTTACAGCTGATTACAGAACCAGCTTTACTCGTGCAGCCCTAGCTGCATGTTTATTTTGCTACTGTTTTATAACAAAGATGTCATTGTACCTGTAGGTGGTGTCGGGCTGCAGGTTCTGGATGATGTATTTGGTTACGGGCCCAGTAAGGATGGGTTGTCTTTCACCCAGATCGATCAGGTACGACGTGATCTCTGATCCATGATCACACGGCGCCTCCCAGCGTAGCCCCAGGCAGGTGGATGGGGAGTAAAGGAGAGGTCTAGCCTCTTCGCCCTCCTCGTCCTCCTCATCCCTCTCTGTGGTCCTGCTGCCCTCCACTCTCATCTCTGACTCGCGGAGAGCGTGGACGTTGCTGACTGGCCCTGGCACAGAGCAGGGTGTCTGGCAGAGCACGGCGTCGCTAAAGGGCCCCACACCGGCTACATTCACTGCCTGAGGCACAAAAAACACCCAGTCAGCGAGTGACTACAATTTTAAACAGACCTGACGTGAACCGCAAATAAACCTTTAATCTTTTACTTTTTTGTAGTTGATTTTAGTTGAGCAGGCTGAGAAATCATCAAGATGAACAATAACACAAACGGGACCAACTATAATGATAATTCTACACAAAAAACAACATGTATACAAAAGTAAAACATGGGACTGGGCTTATGCACAATGACCAGTGGACCATAAAAATTGAAAGCATCAATTACAGAATTAACTGATTATAACCAATGTTACAACATTAGCTTATTTTAGTTCAAATTCAGTAATCAATATGTAATTACAAACTGTTGCAAAATAATTGAATTGAACAAAATTTCAGCCAACTATCGATATATAACAGCCCCCAATATAGTAATAAACAGCTATTATAAACCACACAGGACAAGAAAAAAAAACAACAACAACAACTGTATTCGTCTCTCATCCACTGGGTGGCACTGAGAATGTAAAGTTGGCACTCGCCCCATCATCTCATTTGTATGTATCAAGCTGATTTATTTGTGCTCACAGTAAGTAAAAGTATAATCAGTCACCAGACTGCTACTTCCTGGTTGGTTTGACATGGCAGATCACGTCTCACCAATAGCTTAAACATTGAGATGAAATAAGTGTGTGTGATAGCGTTTCTCACTTGTACTCTGCAGAAGTAGTTGGTGGCTGGCAGTAGACCCCTCATCTCATGGGACAGTGCAGCACCGGTGTAACACGTCTGCATACTGCCCTCTGCCGCCCCCCACTCCAGACGATACTCTGACACTGCTGCTCCATTACAGGGAGGTGTCTGTATGGGTGCAAAACACAGCGAATGTGTTAAGACAAAACAAAAAGGAAAACAAAGCAAAAACAAAAAACTACAAATGTGAAAAATAAAAACATAAAAAATAAATAAATCAAACAAAACAGAAACAAGTATGCAAATAAAAAAGCACTACAAAGCTATTTGAGAGGGGGCAACAGTTCTGATCTGTTTTTTTTTCTGATGATGTTTTTAGGAAAAAACAATCATAAAAAAACATGCCCTTTTTATTTTAGTTAAAGTTTTTGTAGTTTAATTTAGTATTTTTTAGGCTTTAGTTAATTTTTTTTAAATGTTTATTTCTTTATTTTTATTTTTACTTTCAGTAAATGTTTATTAATGAAGTTGTTTTTCATAAGTTTATTTTTTTTTATACAGTTAATAATAATAATAATAACCCTGATTCAGTCACAATGAAGTAATTCACTAAAATAAACCTGTCCTCTCAAAGCTACTAAATACTTGCTTGATACAAAAAGAATACTTTGCATCATGGGATATTCTCACCTCCCAGCTGATCACAGCACATGTCGGTGATTTACAGGTGACATGAGGGGGCCGACACGCCTCAGGGGCCCCTGGACCTGTCGTGACCTCAGACCGCTCCGAAAAAGGGCCGTACTGTTGAACACCAATAAAATATGAACTTACTAGCCGAAGCAAAACTATATGTGGCACATTCTATAAAGAACAGATTATTAGCAACTATAAAAACAAGTAACATCTGTGACATTTATAAGGCCTGCACTCACTCCAGCTTTGTTGGCAGCTCTGAGCCGGAAGCCGTAGGTCCTGCCGGGCAGTAAACTTCCCACTGTGCAGTCCAGTTCAGAGCCCTGGTACACTTCCCTGCCCTCGTCCATCTGGGGAGCGAACATCTCCACGCTATACGAAGACACTGCACTACCTCCATCCACCAGAGGGGGCGCTAACAGATGCGATGAGTGAAAATATTCAGATTTTCAATATTTAGAAAAAAAAAAACTATAATAATAAAAAAAACTTTTATTCAGCAAGGACACATGAAATTAATCAAATGTAACAGTAAATAAAAATGAATGAATTAATAAACGTTGCTTTTTACACTTTCTGAAAAATAACTATATTGAATGATAAATAATGTGTCACAGGTATCATAAATGGGTTCTTGTATTGCAATGGGTTCTTGTTTCGCACCGGATTTAGCAATATTAACGATGGGATTTTTGGAGGAAGGTTTGTGTTTTTTAACAACCCCTTCTCTCCTAGAAACTTTTATTTTTTCAGAGATATATATCGAAGACATTTCTATACTTTTTAAGGGCTCAAAGGAGGAATTACAATCTTTATGAATATATGAATGGCTTTTATGATTCGATTACATTTAATATGGAATGTAATGATAGAGAGTTTCCATTTCTTGATACTAAAGATTTGAAAGTGGATTAAACCTTATCTACAATGGTATATTGTAAACCAACAGACAGAAACAGTTTGCTACATGCTTCAAGTAGCCATGTGCGACCATTAAAACAGGGTTTACCCTATAGTCAGTTCTTAAGAATAAGACAGAATAAGAGAATAAGAGTATACTGAGTCAAGAAAACTGTATGATCAATTTTTAGCACAAGGATATAAAAGACAATGGCTGGATTTGGCCTTGGAAAAATAAAATAATTCAGATGACCTAATTACTCAATTGACAATGAAGTAACTGGTCTGTACTGATTAATTGATTGATTGGATATGTTTTTATATGTGAGGAATTGAATATAAAAATGAACCGTTTTAATAGATTGTGAACACTGAGGAAGGTCCTGCGTGACCGAAACATTTGTTGATTTTAATATGCACTGAAATTTTAAAATAAATAATTTATTAAAAATAAAAAAAAAATGCACTTTCTATGAATAAAGAAGATCGCTAGTATCTCGGCATGTAATCCTTTCATTTGGATACAAAATGTCAACAATTCTGTGTTTTTCTGTCAATATGGGGTGCTGTGTGTACATTAATGAGGAAAAAAAATGAACTTAAATGATTTTAGCAAATGGCTGCAATATAACAAAGAGTGAAAAATGTAAGGGGGTCTGAATACTTTCCGTACCCACTGTATATACAAACAAATTTCAAGAATTGAGTTTTTTTGCTCTGGTGGAATCTATTATTGATTCTATTATTGACTTGAAATCATGCTACATATGAATGGAACCAAGCGCAAAATGCTCCTTTTTTGACAGTTTTCATAAAAACATAAAAAAGCAGCACAACCATTTGATTTTAAAAATAATAATAAAAAAGATTTATTGAGTAGCAAATTCAGCATATTACAATGGCTTTGCCATCACATTAATAAATGACATTTTCAAATATGTAATTAAATTAATTTAAATGTAAAACAGTTATTTAATAATAATATTGAATGAATGAACCCCAAACTTTTAAAATATTATGTATATACACCTCTCAACACCCAATTAACCCTAAAAACATATTAAACGCAGCACGATTTTAAGAAACACTTAATTTGTTATACCCAATAAGCACAGACACATAGGCAAAGCTTACCCCAGCGTAGTTGCACCTCTCTTGATTTAGGTTTGCCTACAACTCTGGGTGGCTGACATGGACCAGGAGGAACAGGTGGCGTTTGGACCTGCAAGGGCTCCATCAACTAAAAACAACAAGGATGAGAAATTAGAAAAACGACAAAACCTTGATACACTTTAATCATGCACACCACGTTCCACCTCCTCAATGAGAATAGAGTGTAGGGCACCGGCTGAAACGGTGACAGCAGACCACAGCCATGTGAGCATTCTCTCACATTCACAGCTGTGAAAACCAGTGCCAAAATGAGTCATAGCTGCGCGCTGGCAAGTCCCGCATGCAGATATGCATCTGCGAAGCCCTGACAATGCCATTACAGCTGGGATCAGAAGACGGAAGAGAGAAATGATTACCAGCCGCTTGCCAAAAGCGGTCCATTGATAAAAGCGTGTTGCGATTTTGAAGGCGTGGAGATGATGGAAGCGATTAATGCGGAAACAAACCGATAAAAGGAAGGTGGATGAATTGGTAACAAGTTGTGGAGCAAAGGAAAAAAAAAGATGACAGTCCAATAGAGACGCACAATATTTACACGAAAGATGTATGCAAAAAATGTTAATTGTATTTAGAGGACTTAAAATGTTGGCTATAAAATTAGATGTAGCAAGACAAAGTAGTCTGACATTTTGGTTTGAAAAAGCTTAAAATGTCATTTCCACCAAAGAGCGAATAGTGAAGATTGTTAGTAGCTTTACAAAAAACCAATTTATGATCCAGAACTCTCTTTTTCTGTAAAGAATACGCTGTTAAAAAGAAGTGTGCTTTAATGTATTGAAATTACATTTATAGTGTAATTCAAATCCAATTACTACACTTATACTTGTAGAAAATATAATTTTAATGAAATAAAAGGCCACTGAAGTGTTTTTAAAGAAAGTGCAATTTCATGACTGTTTCTTAACGCACTTAAATGCACTTTTAAAATGTGTGCTATGTAATGATGTCAAATTTTCACATTTTAAATCATAGTTTTAATGATCTTTTGGCATATTTTTTTTTTTTAAAGTACACTTATTTTGAGGTTATTTTTTTCAAATATTTTGTATACAGCAAAATGAGCATCAATATTTCAAATAAAAGTTTAACTTGGCCCTACAGCAATAAAGGATTGCATATTTTTGTGTGACATACTGGGCTCTCGCCTCCCGCACTGAAGCAGTGGACTCTAGCCTGGTATGAACATCCTGGGCTCAGACCATCACAAACACACTCCATAGCCGAACCGCTGTACACCTGATTCCAAGAAGAACCTGAAACACACACCCAAGCAATCAATGAACAATCGTAATGGCAGGATCAAATTGAGCATGTGTAGACACACCAGAAAACCGAATTGGAACGTACCACTTAACCCTTCAGACAGCTCCGCCACATACTTTGTCACATCTGAACCGCCATTGTCTTTGGGAGGATCTGAGGCGACAAAAAAACAAACAAAAAAAACAAACACTTACTATTTGCGGCCAGTTCCAATGTTATTTTAGTATCACTGAGATACTGTTATAATATTTGAAATTAGATTTTATTTTTACACTTTCTGTTCTGAATTTAGTTTTAGTTTTTAATTATTTTGTTGTGTTTTGTTGTGCATTTCTGTTCTAACATTTTAATTAGTGCTGTCAAACGATTAATCGTGATTAATCGCATCCGATATAAAAGTTTTTTGTATTGTGTATATTTATTATGTACATATAAATAAACACACACACAGCATATATTTAGCAAATATTTACATGTATTTAAATGTATATATTTATATTCATATAATTTATATTATATGTAAATATATTTAACATATAAACATAAAATTTTTCTTAAATATATACAGTACATGCATGTGCATGTATTTATATATACTTAATAAATATACACAATACACACATATATTATGTAAACAAAAACTTTTATTTTGGATGCGATTAATCGGTTGACAACACTAATTTTAATATAATTAATATAATTAACCAAAATTTCACTCCATCTTGGATGGAAATTTCTTATTGTGAAAAACTGTACACACAAAGAATAAATTCCTAAAAACATTTCTTAGAAAGGTAGCTCACCAAGTTTCATGACTGGGCCATAAAAACAGTCAAAGTATATGAGGACTAAATCAAAGGTGATTTCTATATTAGTTTGAGTTGTATTGAGTCAAAGTTCAATATCTACATGTTTCTAACATGCTGAACTGACCCCAGGTCAGACGGAAACTGGTCGGGTGAGGTTTTCCCTTCACTGCGAGTCTGCAGGGGCAGCCTGGTCTGTCAGGGGCCGTGGTGAACTCAGACACACCGCTGGGGTTACTTTTCCCTTCTGCATTATAGGCGACAACCTGCAATGATTTATAAAAAATAAAAAATAAAAAAATAGTCAGACTGTTATTCATTATAGTAATGAGTGTGTGTGTGTGTGTGTGTGTGTGTGTGTGTGGGGGGTTATTAATGATTCAAAACGTCACAATGCAAAAAAAAAAAATTGGAATGGTCCTAAAAACAGGCTTCATTATGACTCAACTAAACACTGGGTGCAGAGGAAATGCAAATCTCTAGGGCCTTTCAAAACCCTTTATATTCACCACCAAATTTGTCTCACTGAGAAACAGTTTCCCCTGATAAAAGCTCAGGATGAGGAAGCATCTCACAATTCAGAAATAAACAGTGGTGTTGTGATGTCATCTGTCATAGTAATTGGCAGTAATTGGGGATGCGAGCTCTCAGGTAATCAGCTCCTCTCATCAGGATACTTGCAGCCGTTCTGATCGCATTAATACACTTTTGTTTTCGGAAACACGATTATGATCAACCCACCCCAACAACACCAGAGAACAGTGACCGATCGCATCACTACACCACCTGCTTCATCTCACAGCCGCTGGCAACAGGTGAGTCTCAATCATGACCGGGATAGGGGTGAGGAGATACAAGAGTTGAGGAGAGAAAATAAAAAAAAAGAGGAAAAAAAGAATGGACTTACAAAAAACAAAGGAATAAATGAACAAAAGAAAGAGAACAAGAACAAATTAAACAACAAACAAAAAAAACTAACCAAAAAGGAAGGAAAAAAGCACAAACAAAAAGAAAGAAACAAAAGAAGCTGATAATGGTAGAAAGAGAACAAAAAAGAGAGAATAAGAGAATATATACAGACTAAATGAAAGGAATGATGAAGAATGAACAAATGAAGAAAAAGCTAATTCAAAAATAAGAAAAGATTAAATTGAAAGATGAAAGAAGGGAAGAAAAATACATGAAAGAGACAAACGGAATGACAACATTAAAAAAACAACAACAAAAACAAAGAGATTTAAAAAGCACAAAGAGGGAACTATCAAATAAAATAAGTAACAAAATAAAGACAAAACCTCACAAGAAAAAACAAGAGCAAATGAAAGAAACAACGAGAGCAAAAAAACAAGAAAGAACAAAACGAACTGACAAACAAAAGAAAGAAAGAAAAGGTACGAAAGAAAACAAGCAAAAAATGAAAGAACCTGGTAAGGAAATAACATTAGAAATGGCAATATAAATTGTCAAAGAATGAACAAACGGAAAAGCAAAACAAATAAAAATGAGACTGAAATAAAAGAAAGAATGAAAAGAGAAGGAAGAAAATAAATGAATGTTCAAACAAATAAAAATAAACTAACTAAACGAAATCAAGAAACTGAGACACACTCAAGAAGTGGCAAACATACATCACTGTGTGTGTTTGTGTGTCCTCACCCTGAACCTGTACGTGGTGCTCCTGTGGAGGTTTCTGGCAGTGTGTGACAGCTCGTCACCATCATAACTGGCCTGGAACCCATAACCCTGTAAAAACACAACATATACATGTAAACACGCATGAAAAACCTGGCCTACTTATGGAAAACGGAATCTTTATGGCCCAGTTTACACCACAAATTAACATTCACAAGTACGAGACAGATCACGGTTCACTACACACTTAATGTCTGCATAAATCACTTCTCACATAACATGTAACATTCTCAAGCTCAGTCCAGGATGCATCAGGACAAATTAATGTTTACTCTGCAAACCGATCTGGCTAACATATCTCTCTGACTAACCATAAAATCAGAGAGAGATATTCATACCTGGTGTAAGCAGGTCTTGTGTCATTTATTTGTCAGAAGTGTTCGATGCATTTCTGTGAACGTGTGTGTGCGTCTCTCACTCACTGAGCCCTCCTCTTCCATCTCCAGGACATAGCTGATTTCGTCTTCTTTGGGCGAGCCGGCTGGCCTGTGCCATCGCACACAGAGCCATGTGACCCCGGACTGAATCAGCTCAGGGCTTAAGGGGGGGGCAGGCACACTGCATGATGTCATGATGTGGACGCCTTCACTGAACTCACTACGGAAAGAGTAAATGATCGTAGGACAAAATATATACTGTATGTATATATACTTTATTTTCCAGACATAAGCCACTTTTTTATCATCTGAAACATGCCACAAATTATATTCCAAAATATATATCCTGATTTTAATTTCAAGCATGTAAAACACGGCACGTCCTGATTTTGTGGCGTTAGATATGTTCCTAGGTCAACATATTTTGTTGACCCTGGAACAACATTTTTATCCAAAAATGTAGTCTTGACCATATCCCTACACCTAAACCTTACTTTAACCACGAGTAATCCCTAAAATCAGAGGAAATTATAGATGAATGACACTGATGTACAAGCCCCAAACACTGATTGTAAGCCTAAGTGTCACAAAAACTATAAACTGGTTCTTCAAATCTGATTGGTTAATCACAATGTTGTTCCAGGGTCAACAAAGATGATTGGTAAAATCAGGTTGTGTGTAATTTTTCAATATATCTGCCATCAGCAGGTATAGAAAAAAGTTAAATCTGAACACTTTTGCAATTACTTTAGAAGCTGGATTTCGGAACATTTTGATATACTGATACATACCTCACCCCCATGTCATTTTTGGCTGCCAGCCGAAAAGAATATCTGGAAGCTGTGGAGAGTTTGGTGAGCCTGTACTGCTTCTGAGGGCCGTAGTAGCACTGTTCAAACGCATCCTTCCCCTTGCCCTGTTCACAGATCACAGCCAGCATTAGCAGTACATGCTTAAACCTCACCTCTTTACTTTTTGAGAAATATGAAAACACAAAACAGCAATAACAAAATAACGTACCTCATCCCACTGAAGGATATAGTTTTGGATTTTGGAACCGTTGTCACATGGAGCCTAGACAAAAATTTATTTTTGTTGTTGTTATGCACTTAATTTGTCAGTTTAAATATGCGATATAACATTCATGTGGGACAGTTGATGTGCCAGTGTGTTAATGTGTGCACACACCTTCCATTGCAGGACAAGGCTGCTCTTGGTGCCGCTGGCTTTGCGTGGCGGGCTGGGCTTGTCTGGCTCACAGCTCAGAGTGGTGAAGCTCACAGGCTCTGAAGGGATGCCTTGTAAACAGTTACACATGGCCTGGACCCTAAATACACACACACACACACACACACACACACACACACACACACACACACACACACACACACACACACACACACACGTATTAGCATATAGAAACAATACAATTACCAACAGTAAAGAAAGGAATAATTTTAGATCTTAGAAATTGTATTTATAAAGACTGAATATTTTTGTAACATAACTACATTTATTATTATTATTATACAAGGATACCATGGTGAGGAAATTTTCACACTAATTAATAAACTTGACAACAACGATATTACCTAATACATTGACAAATGTCTTATCTTGTAAAATGTACAATGTCGCTCAGGATCTGTTGTGTTTATTTTGATCTTTTACTTAAGATCTTTACTTGATGTAAGAGCTCAGATGGCACGCATGCTCATTCTTTTTGGTTTTGTCTTGAGATTTCTGAGTTTTGGAAGAATATCTTCCGGTGGTATTCAAATGTTTTTGGAGAAGATATCAGTCCAGATATTGAATTAGCTTTGCTTGGATGTTCTGACCCTACATTAGCATTAACACATTCTCAGCAATTGTCTCTTATGTTTGGTATGGTGGTATCTAAAAGGGTGATTTTGATGGATTGGAAGTCCACTTTACCGCCCAGTTTTCACAAATGTTGGCAGAGATGGTTGCCGCCCTCAAGCTCGAAAGGATTTGCTTTTCCAAGATCGATGCTTCTAAAAAATTTGATAAAATCTGGGGCCCCTTCCTTAGGTATCTTTTTAAGAGTTGAATGGATAGCTTCACTGTTTTCTTCCTTCACTCCATCTTTAATGTTTTGTTTGATTACGTATGTCTTTGTTTAAGGTGTATATTTTTCATTGTATCTGGTCTGGTGCCTGTTCGTGGGGGGGTAGATGGGGGGGTCTCTAGTTTTTTTGTGTATAGTATATGTTCATGTTCATATTTTTGATAAAATCTGGGGCCCCTTCCTTAGGTATCTTTTTAAGAGTTGAATGGATAGCTTCACTGTTTTCTTCCTTCACTCCATCTTTAATGTTTTGTTTGATTACGTATGTCTTTGTTTAAGGTGTATATTTTTCATTGTATCTGGTCTGGTGCCTGTTCGTGGGGGGGTAGATGGGGGGTCTCTAGTTTTTTTGTGTATAGTATATGTTCATGTTCATATTCATAGTTCATAGTATACGTTCATATATAAACTGTTATAAAAAATAAAAAAGATCTCTTATTCCATCCTGATGATCCGACGATAGCTGCTCGCATCTCAGTTTGTCTAACAGACATTTCTTGCTGGATGAAGGACCATCACCTTCAACTCAACCTTGCCAAGACAGAACTGCTTGTGGTTCCATCAAACCCATCGTTTCATCACAATTTCACCATCCAGTTAGGCACATCAACCATAACTCCTTCAAAAACAGCCAGTAACCTTGGAGTTATGATTGATGATCAGTTGACTTTCTCAGGCCACATTGCTAAAACTATCCGGTTCTGCAGATTTGCTTTAGTCTACATCAAGAAGTTTAGGCCCTTTCTTTCAGAACATGCTTCAGAACTCCCTGTTCAAGCTCTTGTTCTGTCCTGGCTGGACTATTGCAATGCTCTCTTGGCAGGTCTTCCAGCCAGTTCGATCAAACCTTTACAATTAATCCAGAAAGTGGCAGCAAGATTAATCTTTAATGAGCTGAAAAGAATGCATGTCACACCTCTGTTCATCAGTTTGCACTGGCTACCAATAGCTGCTCGCATAAAATTCAAGGCATTAATGTTTGCCTACAAAACCACCACTGGCTCTGCACCCATTTACCTAAATTCATTACTTCAGACTTATGTGCCCTCTAGATCTAGATCTGCAAGTTTAAGAGCTTGCTCTATTTTTTTTCTATTCTATTGGTTTTATTTTTATTTATCATGTAATAAAAAAAACCTTGCTATGTGTACTACGTTAAGTTAACTGAGACTTGTTATAGCACTTTGCTTCTATTGTCCTCATTTGTAAGTCGCTTTGGATAAAAGCTTCTGCTAAATAACTAAATGTAATGTAAATGACAATGTAATCTTTACATCTTTCCCTTTTGAACAAAACGAGTGCTTGAAAATTATAGATTCATTATTACTCTTATTGAAAAACAAAATAACAATAAAACAGTACAATGACAAACTCACTAATATAAACACTTATATAAAAATAACTTTTATTAACACAAGTAAGATGGGTGATGCACCGCACATAACATGTAGAAAAAATATATTGTGGCCATGAATTAAGAATTTGTTCCTGCGACTTAATTTGTTCCCTTATTTCATTAAATTGTGGTCATGTTGTACTAATTAATTCCATCATTTCTGTTTAATTAAAATTAGGAAACAAAATGTGGCCATGATTTAATTAAATAAAAGGGCACAAAAGAAACATTTCTTCTTTTGCCACAAATATATCATTTTTTTTCTCCGCAAGTCATGTGAGGGGCACAGTATATACCTGTGTTGTAACACAAATAAATAAAAGACCTTATGTTATAGCACTTTGCTTCTATTGTCCTCATTTGTAAGTCGCTTTGGATAAAAGCTTCTGCTAAATAACTAAATGTAATGTAAATGACAATGTAATCTTTACATCTTTCCCTTTTGAACAAAACGAGTGCTTGAAAATTATAGATTCATTATTACTCTTATTGAAAAACAAAATAACAATAAAACAGTACAATGACAAACTCACTAATATAAACACTTATATAAAAATAACTTTTATTAACACAAGTAAGATGGGTGATGCACCGCACATAACATGTAGAAAAACTATATTGTGGCCATGAATTAAGAATTTGTTCCTGCGACTTAATTTGTTCCCTTATTTCATTAAATTGTGGTCATGTTGTACTAATTAATTCCATCATTTCTGTTTAATTAAAATTAGTAAACAAAATGTGGCCATGATTTAATTAAATAAAAGGGCACAAAAGAAACATTTCTTCTTTTGCCACAAATATATCATTTTTTTTCTCCGCAAGTCATGTGAGGGGCACAGTATATACCTGTGTTGTAACACAAATAAATAAAAGACCTTTGGATTTCCCCCTTACTTTAAAACAAATGCTTAATTTCTTGTTCATTATTACTTTTAATGAAAAGCACAACAATAAAACAAAGACAAACTCACTTGTATTAAACATATTTAAAATATTGCTAAATAGGCGCTATCACTGATTACTGCGGCAAGCCTATTAATATATTTATAAACAATTTTATTCATAAAACAGTGTTATTATTGACGGAGCTATGCTATACAAACTAGAATGTGTAAAACAAATTCTGATAATGTCTTGTGCATTTAAAAGTCAAAACAGACACAAACCTGACATGGTAGTCTGTTGCTGGTCTTAAGTCTTGTAAGGTTGCACTTAGTTCCACACCACTGACACAAGCAAAAGAAAGAAAATATTAGTAAAATTTTTCGCAAAATGTAAACAATGAAAACAACTCTTCAGTATTCATCTACTACTGTGAACTTAAAAGAGCTGCATGTCAAGTGAACTGCTGTTGAACTTCAGCTATCAAAAACCCACAGCAAACCACAAAAAACAACAGCGAGTTCCTCAACTGCACCCCCACACCTCCTCCACAGCGGGACACGGAGCGTGATCTCACCTGTAGGCGCTCTTGTACTTCCCATCCTTGCCACTGTACGAGACGGAGACCTCATACGTGAAGCTGGGCTCCGCAGGGCCTTCTTCTCCCTCTTTGGGCTCATCGTCACCTTCTGTCCTTGATGGGGCCACCCAACTCAAACTGGCCCCTCTGGCCTGGATGTCTGTCACCTGATGATGCAAGATGATACAATAGTTTTTACATGCAGCACTACATTTAATGCAAACCTTTCAGTTGGGGGGGATATTATACTGAGCTAGTTTCAAATTTTACTTCTACTGGATCCAAAGTTGTCACACAGATTTTAAATGATCAGTCGAGTAAAAAAAAAAAACAACTCTCACAACTGGTTAAATAAATTTACACAAGTTTAGGGGTGCACCGATACTAGACTTCCTGCCGATACGATTTGTATTATTTCATATAGAACTCAATAGACGAGTTAAAGCAAAGTGAATCTAAATGTAAAAACAGAGGAAATTAGTATGTACTATTAACTGTCCAAATTCAGCTGATAGAAGTCCGACATTGACCCATAAGATAAATTGTTTGAAAATCTCTAATATTATCCAAAAATCAATATAGCACCATTTATTGTGCATTACTAAGCATGGCGTGTCACCTGATGATGCAAGATGATACAATAGTTTTTACATGCAGCACTACATTTAATGCAAACCTTTCAGTTGGGGGGGATATTATACTGAGCTAGTTTCAAATTTTACTTCTACTGGATCCAAAGTTGTCACACAGATTTTAAATGATCAGTCGAGTAAAAAAAAAAACAACTCTCACAACTGGTTAAATAAATTTACACAAGTTTAGGGGTGCACCGATACTAGACTTCCTGCCGATACGATTTGTATTATTTCATATAGAACTCAATAGACGAGTTAAAGCAAAGTGAATCTAAATGTAAAAACAGAGGAAATTAGTATGTACTATTAACTGTCCAAATTCAGCTGATAGAAGTCCGCCATTGACCCATAAGATAAATTGTTTGAAAATCTCTATTATCCAAAAATCAATATAGCACCATTTATTGTGCATTACTAAGCATGGCCTGAATCCTATTTTAGGCAAATTTGTACACGTCAATGCCCGAAGTTGTTGCATTCTGAAAAGCGACAGATTAAAATTTTTAACGCAAAGGAAACATCTGTAGAACTCTCTACATTTGTTTCTGCAAACTTGCATAGACTGGGTTTCTGGCTGAAGTCTTTGTAATTATGCAAAACTAACTTTTGTTCAATTTGATTTGTAGCGCGAATAATTTATGAATACCTTATGGACTGCAGTTTAAAAAAAAAAAAAAAAAAAAAAAAAAAGAAGTTCAACAATATTCAAAAAAGATGGAATATCTCTTTTTCCACATTTATCAAATTTTGTTCACCAGATGAGTCTCATAATCTTCGGACCAACTGTCATAAAAGTTATTGGCTGGATTTTTGGTTTGCATCACCATTACACTAAATAAAAGATGGAAGTCAGGATCCATTTTGGCAAATTAAAGAAAATATCGGTAGCATTCCCTGCAACTGTGTCTGCAAACTTGCATAGATTGGCTTTCTGGTCTCGTCTTGTAAATATAGCAATAAGGAAGAGCAAAACAACAATTATTTTCTTAATTGACTTGTCAATGGATTGTCTGTGCAATTAGTCTATCTCAAAGAAGACCTTTATAATTCGCCTGAGTTTAGGTCATGTCCCCAGACAGACCGATGAGAATCTGTGTTTGTAAATTGAGTGAATGTGATGCACAAGGACAGCCAAGAGACTGTATATTCAGACGAAAAGGAAACGTTTTAAATGAGTGAAAACTGATGTAACGATGCATGATTGATTCAAACTCAATTTGTCTGATTCAGTGAAATCCATCATTACTTTCAGAGGTTAATTGTTCCCGGGGCTAATTGGCTATATATTTAGCTACAAGCACATGTTTGTGGGAAATACAAATGTCTGCTTGTTTTGCCTGGAAAGAGTCGCTTTAGTTTATTTTAAATCACATGCGGCACTTTCCCTCCGGAACAAAAGAGAACTTCTGTTATGCAAGGAGGAATATTTTTAGCTTTATTCCAGTTGAGAAACAAGTCTCCTTTAGTTATGGATGCATGACTATGCACCTTTCGGGTTTTCAGAATAGCGCAGATTACTAGGCAAAAACGGACTTAAAAAGAACCTATACAAGTGCCCCATGGGGCATGATTCTCTCCCTCTAAACTTTTCACAACAACTTTTCTCACTGCATGAGTTGTGGAAATAATCTTTCAGTTACTGATGCAAGTAAACTACATAAATCTGACCAATAAGTTTGATTTATCATTCCGAGCAGGCAAAATAGTAGGTAATGTTTTATGAGCTGCAAGGTCAGCATACTTTGCGAAAATTAACATGAAATGCATTTGCTTAATACTTGCATCATAAATTCAGGAAAAAATGGTCATTATGCAAAACTAACTCTTGTAGAACTTTTAAATTGATTTGTGGTGGCCTTAATTTATTAATTCTTTACAGAGTTACTCTTTTTCGCCAACTCATTTTATTCCATATTCACCAAATTTGTCTTACAATCTTCAGACTAAGCCTCACTACAACCACTATTGGCTAGATATTTGGTTTTTGCCATTGTTTCTCCCAAAAGACGTCAACAGAATTGAATAAAAGATGGAAGTCTTAACAAAACTTTAAGACATTAATTTTATAATTTCAGTCAAAAAAATGTTTTCCATTTTTTAAAATTTAAATAATAATAATAAAAAAAAAATTGTCTGGCTACTAAAACAAATGACAAAATATATATTTCAAAGCCCCCACACATCTCCACAATAATAAAAAAAAAACTAAATCTATCAGACGTTTCAACATTTTCCCCTTCAATAAAAAAATAAAAATATATATAAATAAATAAATTCATTAATGTATTTATCTATTTTCCCATTTAAACAAAAATTGATTTTTTTGGGACACGACCTTAAATTTTTTTAAGATGAAATAAAATGAACCTCTTTTCTATATTCTTGCATGCCAATGGTGTTAAAGAGCTTACTTACTGTACTGTATTTTGTGAAAATTATTTTGAACAGCATGCTTAACTGGCCTTTTTTAAATTTATGTGTAGTGCCCCTATAATTTATTCATATATCATGGACCACTAAAATAAAAAAAATGTTCATCGTGTTCAAAAAAGGTTTGAATGTCTAATGAAAAAGGATCAGTAATAATTATTATAGTGAAATGGACAGGGCTGTTTCGCCAAAGCTGAAGTCACTGTTTCATGAAAACATCAATAAACCAGATCCCAGCACACCAGACAAGACAGCCATTTAGCTTCCTCTATGAATCAAATCAAATACAGCATTAATGACCCATTACTGTCTTCTTGTGGGGACTGTAATCATGCATGGATGTAGAGTTTTTAAGACCGTGGAAATGACTGTCATTAAGAAAACTGTTGACGCAGCAAGTAGCCATACAGTTCTTCAGAAGGTGGTTTCTCAGTGAGAGGAGTGTCAAATGTAGCATAAAGGCCTTTCAAATAGCCCACTAAGAAGAACAGTACGCCATATCAGTACCATTATGCCAATGATAGACTAAAGTATTGACCAGGCAGGCTGATTAATAGACTGATATTTGGCCAGTGTGAGATTGTCCACCCTTTTAAAATGTCAAGCCTCATCAGTGGATCCATTTTCAAACATTTTGGGGGAATGATTTTGAATAAATAGTGTAAAATAAGTGTTCCCAATAAATACAAAATGTTATTTTGCTTTTCCACCACAAAGTTTGCAAGTCAAGCAATTAGCCATTACCAATTTCGAAATTATCTCAAGCTATGGTTAGACTATAAACAAGCAGAAAAATGTATTTAAACTTCATCAGGCTTGAAAGGTAACATGTGGTCTGCTTCATCTCTGGATAAATCTGTCAATCTTCTGTGGTTCGTCTGCTCATCAATGCTTTTTTCTGAAGATTTTCTGAAGTTGGTTTATGTTGCAGTCAGCTGAACATTCACGGAATCGATAATACTTTTCTTAAGTGTAGGAATAATGCTACTACGGCACAGATTCCTAAATTCCTAAAATAAATGTCTGTTCCTAATATTTAACTCAGTAAGGATGCTTTTATTTAATAAAAAATAAAAACAGTAATATTGTAAAAATTTAATTGAAATGTGTTCATTTAAAATGACATCTCCTGTTTTAATATTTAGAATAAACTGTAGAGTACACAGTAAAAGAATGTAAAAATGCTAGAGTAAAAACCTGTTAATTGGTTAACAGTACGTTTCCATACTATATACGGTGAATAAATGCAGTTACATTTAATGTGATTTTACAGTAAAGTACTGTTAAAATAAGTTTTTTGGAAGTGAAAAATAAAAAGTCATTGTATAATTTACAGTGAAAAACCGTAAATTGACACTCCCAGAATTCACTGCGTAACACTTCATATTTGATATTTTTTTGTTGAAACAACTATGATTCTTCTTAGTTTTTTCTTATCAGTTGTGTACATTAGGGTTTTATCTTACATCTAATGTTGTTAAATTAATGTTATTGCATTATTTCAGTATCATGTGTGTTTCCATGATGGTGTTTAGTGTTTGTGTGAATGACACTGTGCACCTTCTATATATAAATATTGCCCTCCTCAGCTCGTAGAAAAGCTGTTTGTGATGAGCTTTGCTTCATCATGTGACTTTCTCATCACTACCAGTTTTTGGTGGTTATCAGTGCATTACAATGGTTCAAAACCGATATTAGTACTTCAATATGTTGGTTTATTAATATTACATCAGTTAATGAAATACAGTATTTTACTGTGAATTTAAGTTAAGTCTGTAAAACCTAAAATGTTGCTACCACATTTTTTACGGTGAAGTTCTTGCAACCACAGCTGCCGGTATTTTACCGTAAATGTCACAGATTGTTTTTACAGTGTAAATAAAGCATTGCTAATTGTAATTTACTCCTGTGATGGCAAAGGTGAACTCTCAGTATTATTACTCCAGTCTTTAATGTCACATGATTCTTCAAAATCATTCTAACATGCCTGTTATTATAATGAAAGTTAAAAACGGTTTTCTAAATATTTAAACTGTGATAGATTTTTTTAGGATCCTTTGATGAACAGAAAGTAAAACAAAGCATTAGTTTGAAACAGAAATATTGAAATTATACATGTCTTTACTGTCACTTTTAATCATTTTAACTCTTCCTTTCTGAATAACTGTACATTACTAAAATTATTAAAATACCAGGCAACTGCTAACTACAAGTTAACATTAAAGGAAAATCAAAACACAAAATATGCACATATATATTAACAAAGGAATATTAAAATAAAGTTCTGCTTACCACTGGCTTGCAGATGGAGTTTAATCGTTCCTGAAGAGCTTTTGCTTCTTCATCCAGTTCTACATAAAAAAAAAAAACAATATCTAGATAAGATGACTTCCTTATCAATTGTTTCATAAAAAGGACAAGGCTTTACACTCAAGCTTGCTACTTTAATCACAGTAAAGGCATTTATTTTCCATGAATGGATTAATAGACATATCAGCTAAGCTGGAGTTCCTCCAGGCTGTAGTTAGTTAGCACTGATAAATGACTGAGTCAGTGCAGAGGTAATTACAGCTAATGATATCTGCAGCAGCCTAAAGCTGAAGGAGCTAATGAGACCAGAGACAAGCTGCTCGGGCCTGTTTACAGTGGGGCTGGAGAGAGGGCCCATCCCTGGAGCCCCGTTAAATCTTCCAGTGGGCTCCTGGATAGACTTCTACCTGGAACCTGGGATATAATCATCCTAGGAAAAAGAAGACTTAATGGGACATTGATGTCTGTTAATGCTAATAGCCATTTCCTAATATATCCCCATCAGCGATCGCACGCATAACTCTGGTTGGTTATTAATTGCGAGGGAGATAAATAGTAAATATTTAATTCCCTGGCCATTTTTAAGCAAGTTTATCTTTTAATTAGATGTGTTAGGAGATTATCATTAAAATCAAATTTTTAAAGCGGTTTTCATGCTAAAATGTGATACTAGTTGATACTAAATAGCTGATTTATGCAAACCTATTAATGCAACAAGACTATATATCAATCAGTCTAATAGACTGTAGTGGGGTTGAAAGTTCTGAGACAATATTTAAAAACTAAATTAATGTAACATGAAAGAAAGTAGTAGTATTTGTATTAGTATTATCTAATAAAATGTAAGCAAATAAGTGGACAGTGATCACGTCAACTGATATTGTTTAACTTTCATTATGTCATTGTGTTTACTTAAATTCTTATACTGATAATATAATTTGTAACAAAAAGGTCAAATAAAACAAGTAAAAAAAGAAAACTAAAAAACTAAACACAAAATTAAACAAAAACAACAAACAAATGCTGTCAAAACATTAATCGTGATTAATCGCATACAAAAAAAGTTTTGTTTGCATAATATATGTGTGTGTTCTGTGTATATTTATTATGTATATATAAATAAACACACATACAGTATACATTTTGAAAATATTTACATGTACTTATGTCTATATTTATATTCATATAATTTATAGTATAAATAAATTTGTTTAATATATTTGTTTAATATATAAACAACATACTTTTCTGAAATATATACATGCATGTGTATTTATATATACATCATAAATATACACAGTACACACACATATTATGCAAACAAAAACTTTTATTTTGCATGCGATTAATCGTTTGGCAGCACTAAAACAAACAAAACAAAACTCTTATTAGAGCATGATAAATAAATGTAATTATTTATTTACCACTGGTGTCTCATATTGCTGATTCTACTATTCTACTATGGTGTCTCATATTGCTGATTCTAAAGCAATAAGACACAAGAGGCAGCGTGTTACATTTTCACATAGGTTTTAGGCACTCTGCTTCACACCTCTTAACTGTGGTAAAAACACTGTAACACAGCATCCTGTGGCTTAATACTTAACTCTAATGGTTCTAGGAACCCTAATATATTCTACCTCCAGATTCTGTCTCCTTCCCTCTCCCTGGACTTTTGACCAGGGCGGTGACAGCAGTGCTGGGCTGTGCTTGCTCCTCTGCGCCCTTACCCCCCAGCCCGTTCTGGAGATCTCCTCCTGACGGTGGCGTCCCGCGGCTCTTCTGTGGGGATGGAGGGGGACTGTCTTTGGAGAGGGCCAGGACTCCACATCCCCCTCCGCCCACCCCCTGCCTCTCTTTCAGTTTCTTCTGCAGGCGCTCGTAGGTTTTGCTAGCCCTTTCATCTCTGTGAGCAAATGCCGCACGTCCATGTGGAGGGTGAGTATCTGAGGAAATTGGAAAACAGAGAGAAATGTAAGGAATAATGTGAAACGGATAGTTGAATTATTGAAAAATTATGCACAGGTGATAATGCCGCCAATTTGTGCGAAGTGTATCCCTTTGGGCACTTTCTGAAATGTATAAACACTTTAGCAATTATATTTATATATATAAAAAAATCAAAAAGGGAGAATTAGGGTGTGTAGGTAGTATAATTAAGTAAAAACAATAACTATTTATGATAGTCTGTTATGCACATTGCTATTTTGGTGTTATTTAAACGCTGTTGTAGGCCTGGGCTGTAAACCGGTATCAATATTTATCGAGAGAGAGAGAGAGAGTGCGCGAGAGAGAGAGAGTGCGCGAGAGAGAGAGAGCACAAGAGAGCGAGCGAGCGAGCGAGCGAGCGAGAGAGAGAGAGCCACACAAATGAATATTCAGTGCATTTTTAGACAGACAAATATGACTGCTGCACTCACGTCTCACACAAGAGATGTAACCATGCAAAGTTAAAAGGGTTTAAAACTTTAGAAAACGAGTCGCGAATTTGTGGAGGTGTATTCCTTTTCATTGCGTCTCTTACTGCATTCAAAATATTAGAGAAATATAGAAGCTCAATGCGGAGAAGTTCTTGATTAGGTGAAAACCGAAACCAAGCCATTCACACAAATGAATATTCAGTGCATTTTTAGACAGACAAATATGACTGCTGCACTCACGTCTCACACAAGAGATGTAACCATGCAAAGTTAAAAGGGTTTAAAACTTTAGAAAACGAGTCGCGAATTTGTGGAGGTGTATTCCTTTTCATTGCGTCTCTTACGTTTTTAAATGCAATCTGCGTGATGGGCGATTCGGCTCTTTGTATTAAGCAATGCATAAATACATGATGCTGTTTTGTTCATAATTGTTTATGCAATTTATGAAATTATATTTGACTTATATGAGTTCATTTAGATGCAATGCAGGTTTTTTTATAGACATTTATTTCCTTGCATTGACAATTTAAATGTGCTGCATTATTTTGCTCATTGCGCCCTCCGTTGGCCTTGGGAGACAAGCCAAAAGTTCCCTTCAGACCTATTTAATCTGCATATAAAACATTATAAATTAAATATTTGTAACATTTTTATTGTGTGTTTGACTGTTAAAACTAAAAATATTTGTTGCTTGTCTCAATAAATTGGGTTAATTTAAACCTTTGTACACATGGGACGATTATCGTGCGCGCTTATCGCCGACGTTTTTTTCGACGCGTCTTTTGTGTTCATACCCAAGCGATTTTCGCTGGTGATGAGCCGAGTGAACGTGCAAATTCACAACCTGACATTAGATGGCGCTTAATGAAAACCAGAAATACCCCGGTACACATCGAATCCTATTTGATCTGCAATTCCTCTCCATAACAACTCCCTCTTATCGAGATTTTTGTAGTCGCTGTCGCGTTTGTCATAAAGCCCTTTGTGTTCAGACACCAATGAGACCAGCAGCTCTACATTCATCTTGCCTCGATGCATCATCTTTGTCTACTTACTTCCTCTTCGTCGTTAGGTATCAATGTGTGCTCTGCAAGACCGTTTTGTGCTTGAGTGCCACCAAGTCATGTTTTACTGTAACTTCAGCAGCTCCAGGCACGTGAACAAAAGCGCCAATCTCATTGGCCAGCCAGTTTTTAACGCAGCGCGTCAAACCAAAAGAACAAGCCCGTGGCTTTTTTGAAAAAGTGATGCTTTTACGGTTCGTGTTTCGCACGACGGTGTGCACGCTCACATTGGCGCCCTTTGTTTAGTCGCGAGGCGTTAAACGTCGGAGATAATCACGAGCGATATTCGTCCCGGTGTGAACAAGCCTTAACAGTGGTTAAATGTAAAATAAAATTTCTATTGCTCTGTTTTAAAAAAGGTTATAAAAAAAGTCAATAATTATCGATACCGAACGATATGAAACATTATATCGTTAATAAATTTTTTAGCTATATCGCCCAGCACTACGCTGTTTTAGCATTTATTAATATTTTTTTAATTTGCTTCTATTTTTTAATTTTTAGTAAATGTAAAAAAAGTTAATTTTGTGCTTTTGCCTTCTTAAAATGTATTTATTTATTTTAAACATTGTTATTTAGCTTTCTTTTTTATTTCAGTTTAGGTTTTAGTCATTTTAGCGCTTTAAAATTATTTACTTAGTTGTCTTTACTGTAACTTCAGCAGCTCCAGGCACGTGAACAAAAGTGCCAATCTCATTGGCCAGCCAGTTTTTAACGCAGCGCGTCAAACCAAAAGAACAAGCCCGTGGCTTTTTTGAAAAAGTGATGCTTTTACGGTTCGTGTTTCGCACGACGGTGTGCACGCTCACATTGGCGCCCTTTGTTTAGTCACGAGGCGTTAAACGTCGGAGATAATCACGAGCGATATTCGTCCCGGTGTGAACAAGCCTTAACAGTGGTTAAATGTAAAATAAAATTTCTATTGCTCTGTTTTAAAAAAGGTTATAAAAAAAGTCAATAATTATCGATACCGAACGATATGAAACATTATATCGTTAATAATTTTTTTAGCTATATCGCCCAGCACTACGCTGTTTTAGCATTTATTAATATTTTTTTAATTTGCTTCTATTTTTAAATTTTTAGTAAATGTAAAAAAAGTTAATTTTGTGCTTTTGCCTTCTTAAAATTTATTTATTTATTTTAAACATTGTTATTTAGCTTTCTTTTTTATTTCAGTTTAGGTTTTAGTCATTTTAGCGCTTTAAAATTATTTACTTAGTTGTAATGGGAACATTTCAAATTTTCACTTTTCATCTAATATTTAAATATTATTTCAGCTATAGTAGTTTTAGTTTCAATCAACACTAACAATACCAATTATGCCATTAATATGAATAAAACAACAATATTGTCATTGTTCTTATTTTTTCTTTATTACTGACCGTTTACTTGAAAAGCTTCATTATTAAATACTCTAATATTTAACTCAAAAACTTAACCTCAATATTTAATAAAAACAAACTTAATGCCATTGACTTAATTTACTTTATTATGTATTAATATTAACATGAACAGTATTATTAATATTCAGTCACTGGTTAAATTACTGATATTAACTTCTAATATTAAATAAATTACTGTTAATAATTACATTTAAATATATTAATTACTAAATATATTTATTAGTTAATTTTCATGTAAAATTTGTTCATTTGTGTTTTTAATAACATATTGCATAACATCAAAATATTAGTAAAGTGAGCTGAGTCTACGGTAAAGCTAAGTGTTCCCTACAGGAATTTGTTCGTGTTGTGTTCAGTATTTACTCGTAACATATTTCACAGCTTTCAGTCTTTCTCTCTCTGAGAGTCCAAAACTTAGCTAAAATATAGGCCTATAACTTTTCCTTGAAAAGTCAGCAGAGGCGCAGCATGCCATCCTCACTCTTGGTGAGGCAAAAGTGTGTGTGTGTAAACTGACCTTGCTCTGAGTAGATGGTCGTGTGTGCCGGATGGTACTGGGAGATGTACTGGGGGTTCATATCTCCAGTTCCTCCAGCCATGCCTGAGTAGAGGTGAGGGGGAGGGTGCATGATGTGCGGGTGGGGGATGAAGGCCTGTAGGTGGGCGTGGGGCGGCGGAGGGGGTGGGTGGTGAAGCGGGGAATGGCCCCCCGGATGAAACTCCGTCTGAGGTAAGACCAACACCCGCCTTACTCCGTTCTCCTCAATGATCTATATGGAAAGATCGAGAGAAAATTACACAGGACATACTGCACATACCATTCTTTTAGCCTGATTTCAGTTAAAGATTTTGATATCTTTTTGAAATGTACAGCATTTTAGAATTTATTTAGTTTGATCTGTTCCAGTTCTAGCTCTTTTAAAGGCAGGAATGTGTCCTAAGGCAGCATCATTTTGCAGACTGATGTCAGCAACAGCCTTCACTTTGACAGTGCCTATGATGCCAGAAAATGTTGCTAGGTAGGATGCTTAAATGGTTTGGAAAAGGGCCACAGAGACATAAATCAGACTGAAAGTAGCATTCTTTTCACCAAACCAAAACAACAACTCCCATAAAAATAATGTAAAACTAGTTCTGTAATGACTCACCTGTTGAACGTATCCAGGAGGCACATAGATTTGAGGCACTGAACCGTTTGGGGACATCATGGGAACCTGAGCAGGACCTGTAGAGGAAACATGAACAATAAATATGAAAGTCAAATACACACCATGTCAAGTCACATTTATTTCTATAGCACTTAATACAATACAAAGTGATTCAAATCAGCGTCACAATGACAAATGTGATCTAAAGTACATTGCTCCCTAAATCACGTTGTTACTTTCGTAATGTGATACATTTTGGAGTGAAACAGAACTTGTATAATATATATATATATATATATTAGGGATATGCCAGTATCAAATTTTCATGTTGCGATTAATTGCTAATGCTTTTATCACGGTATACGGTATTATCACAATATTGAAATATAGTTTTAAAAAAAAGTGTTGTCATAATACAGTATAACAGGTTTAATAACTTTTTTCTTATAACAAAAATAACGGACCATTTCAATACAATAAAGCAATACAGAAAGATGTATAAAGTTAAAAGTTTTACACAGATTAAAGTGCAAAAGAACTATAAAGACCAATAGGTATCACTTTACAATAAGACCTCATTAGTTAACCTTAGTTAATGCATTAACATTCACAATAGCTACATTTGCAACAGATGTTATTAATCTTTGTAAAAAAAATTAAAGTTTTAGTTCATGTTAGCTCATTAAATAACACAGTTATAACTTTAGATTTTAACAACGTGTTATTAAATATTGGAATATCTAAGATTAATGAATGTAGAAGAATTTTTCATTGGCAGTTTATGTTAACTAATGAATTAACTAATGTTAACTAATGAAGCCCTAATGTAAAGTGTGAAAAAACAATAAAGAATCAAAACACTTTCAAACAATATCTAGGACATGTTGTAGTCCAGATTAAAATGTAAAAAATTTTTTTGAAAATAAATAGCCTATTAAGTCTAAATATTTAAGCATTTGGCGCAAATCGTTAAAATCCTAGCAAATACACAAATCTGAATGGCTGTTTAATATGGGATTACATCTCTGCCACAATTCTGCGCACAAAATATCATATTTTGAGCACGCAAAAGTGTGTTTTGCATGTGCGTGAACTGAGTTTTGTGGAGAAAATGTTTTTCTCGCAAAGCAGTAAGTATTTAGAGCGCACGAAAATAAATTTTGCATTTAAAATACGTTTTTTGATGTGTGCAGACCTTCTCTTTTGCGCGTACAACGTTTCACTAGCTTGCTTACCTGATGCCCGCCCTTAGTGCTCTCTAAATGCCAACAGCTTGCTTGCTCAACACAACACAGCGTTACAATATGCCATAATTCCAGCCAATCAGAGATGAGGCTGCTAAATTCTGATTGGCTGCCTTGACAACCAATCACAACATTCCTTGCATTACCTCGACAGCAGAAGAGGAAAAATACAGTGCATGCATAATTATGCAAGTTGATATTCTGATGATATTTCTTTCCAAGCACATTTCCAATTCCAAACAACATAAATCTTAATAACTACTATTAATCTTGTATTTAATCATTTATAATTGATATATAATTATTCATGAAGGCTGGAAGTGAAACATGTCTTATATTCAGGTGTGCATAATTAAGCAGATTTTCGTTTACAGATAAAATGAGCCAAAAAAGAGATTTAACTC